TGAAGATATTGAATAGAACGGGACCAGGTACTGAGCCCTTTCCTGCCCCAACAGGGCTGAGCATCTCATCTTCTGGCAGTGTGCAGGGCAGACTGAAGGTGAGGGGTCTGGTTTTTGACAGAATAGCTAAAAAAGATCCAGATTTCAGAAAATCTCTAATGGTGCTACTATAGCTGTGGCCACATCCACTGCAGGGAAAACTGCATGAACTGGAGGCAGAGAGGGATAGAGAAATGCCAAACTCTGGCAGTGACCTCCCCAAGCTTTAGAGACCTCATGGGCTGGCCCTTTCAGAGGGCACTGTGCTGTCTGGGACTCACCTTTGAACAGGTTTTCAGCACACAAAGCTTACAGATGCTCAGTTTTCTTTCTGTGGAAGTCATTGACAGAATTCCCCTTGGCTTTTGGAGCTCAGCTAAAGCTATGAGCCATTTGTATTGGCTGTGCAGATACTTAAACGGGTATCCAAGTCTGGGCTTTAGACACTTCATCTGAATTTCTTTCTTTCCCTCTTCCCAGCACAGTTGTTAGAGGTCAAGCCAAGTATACTGATTGATACTGTGTGTCTAACCCAACTGTTCAGGACAGCCAACACTAGGTAAAATAAGTCAATTTCTGTCAGAGAAACCTGAAAGAGCAGCTAATTATGGATAAGGCTTGAAACGGTACTTGTGGTTCCACTACAGGGGCATAAAATTATCATTTTTGTCTCTAAAGAGAAGTCCTTTGAGTGGAGCATAATAGTGCTTGGGCATTTCTGGCATGTCAGAACATTCAGTTCCTGCCATAAAAAGTCTTTCATTAATGCACACAATACCTTTGGATGAGAAACTGTTTGTAGTAGATAAACTGGGACTTGGGCATATGTGTCCCCTGATGCTACAACCATTCTTTGCATTTTTAAAATGTAGATACCATGAGCAAAACGAGAGAAGTATTCCAAAGAAATACAAGCGGACACCAAAGACATTGTGGCACATGTGAACCATAGCAATGTACATCAAACATGGAAAAGGAGAAATGAACCTCCGATGGGTAGAGAAACAGTTTGTGCCAGAGGCACGCAGCAAGGAGAGGGCAGAGCTGCCGCCGTGCAGAGTTCCCATGTGTTGTGTAGTATCCTGTGAGACTGGTTTGTGCAGCACACTAAAATGCTGTTCAAAACAGCCCTTAGGGCTGGAGCATATTCACTGAGGAGCTGCTTTCCATCTCTCTAACTGGCTGCAGGAAGCATGCTCTGAGGAAAGGAACCTTTCCCTCAAAACCTCAGAGTGTGACGGAGGTATTCATTTCCACTGCTGAAAAACAGTCTCTTAACTCAGGCAGATGTGACCTTTGTGCGATTCTTTTAATAAGTCTGATGCAGGCTGATATTTTTTCAGAAATTTAATCTTGTGGTAAAATAATAATGAAAATCAACACATGACGCAGAAAGATTATGAGAGAAAAGGGGGATGTAAGTCATCAGCTGTTTACAATGCCTTAAAATCTGTAATGTTTTCTTGAGGCTTCAAAATAAAGGTACAGAACTAGGGGAAAGCAGAGGGTCTCTCCGGCTCGGTCTTTCCCTGGAAGGATGCCTGGTATCAATGGGGACCAGCGTGATGGTCACTCAGCCAAGTCACGGGCCACCCCCACCAGTTGCCTCCAGCTTTCCAGATGTTTCCCATTGTCTAAGCCATAGAAACCACCCAGAAAAAGAGGCACAGATCTGACCCAGTGACCACACACCACGTCCCTAGGCACAGACCCTGCACATACAACCAGCAACAAAGCCCTGGGCCACCACCGAGTGCTCTTTGCTAAATGATAGCAAATGCTGTCACACAGCTAGTGGCCTTAATTTCAGTTCAGAGATTGCAGGCAGAAATCAACAATAAAACAGCTACTCTGAATGAGTGTTCGTAGCAAGAGGTAAAATACCAGAAACAGGAGAAATATATAGGGAGGGGTGTATGTTCATGAACACATGCACACAGGAGTACCCTCACCTTGTGCTGCACTGATCAATTTTTCACTGAATTTCTCCTCTAACATTTTTTGACCTCCAGTATCCTTCAAAAGCTTACACTGTGTGTAATAAATGACAATTCACCGTACCTCAGGGCTCCAAGCGGATGAGCTGTCAGTAGCATCATTTACTTCAAATCCCTGGTTGGCAAGTGCTGTCTCCGTTTCCAAACGTCCTTCCGTGGCTTGCCGGCTAATGCCATTGGCAGTGCTGGACTCCATCCTAGGCCCTTTACGCTGCCCAGCACCCCTACTCTCAGTTGTTCTTGAATCAACAGATCCATGGTCATCTTCACGATAGGATAGGTTGTCTTGGTAACTCAGTTGGCTTAGTCCATCCAGATCTAACAATTCGCAGCAAGAAAATAATTTCAAAGGATTAGAATGCATTCCTCCCCCTCTCCCTCCCAAAATGTGCCTTTCTCTCTTTTTTTTATTTTCTTCTTTTTTTTTTCCCCCTCATCTCCAGTGTTTGCAAGAGAGTTTCTAATTCTGAGAACTGCAGCCCTGGACCTAAAAACCAGCAACTCCTGTATAAATCATAATCTGATGGAGTGGACATGGCTGTTTCTCATCCCATCCTGAACTGAGAAACCGGTTGCCTTTCCCTGAAGAAGTTAACCACCAAATGCAATTATCAATGGTGTGTTTGGGATACTCAAGTACCTTGGGGATGCTTCGAGGCCCAAAGTAATTAGTTCCATGAAAACACAGGTCAGACAAATTACAGAAAGCACAGCATAGGCCTGATGAACAGGTATTAGCAATTTGTTTCTACAGAGGAGGAGAAGGAGGAAAGGACAGGAGTTAGCATTGCCCTCAAGGGGGAGGTGCTGATGGGGAAAGGAGTTTTGCAGAGATAACAGAGTGCCACCACGACGAGCACTTGGGTGCACATGAGCAGCTCCACAAGTCAACTAGGAATCTCCAAATCCTCTGTTTGGGCTAAATTGTACCAAGGGCAACTGAGGGGAGATGTCCTCCCTAAATTCCTGCCTGCTTTTATTCATTTTAATTAATTTGATCCCACACATTTACTCCATGGCATAAAATCAGGTTAATTAAGGAGAATAAAATAGTCCTATCTGGTTCAGACCACAGATTCCTCCTCTGCACCATCAAAGTCTCTGTTTTGAACACAGGTCACTTTTCTCTAGTTGAAGGCATCCGTGAGAGCTCTCTGGGTTGAGCAACAAAGGTAACTACATGTGCAGGGACACAGATGAAAACAACATCATGATTTGGCCTTGAATGTGTTCTGTAAGCACTTTCAATAGAAAAATAGGGACCTTCCTCCTCCTAATGCATCTGATGCCAGGACTTGCTTTACGAACATAAAGAGCTACATTCTGTCTCCATCTCTTTCAGATAAGCAAGCAGCAGTTACAGTGAAAGAAAACAAGTTGTGCTTCCAGACAGCTGATGACAGTAATGAAAACAGAATGACTTCTCTCATAAACACAGCTATTTGGGGTTTAAAGGTTTCGCAGAATGGTGTTGGAAAGGACCTCTGGACATCATCTTACCCACTCCCCCTGACCAAGCAGGGCCACCTGTTCATTTGTTCTTAAGAAGGTCTTTACTATAAAGCAATGATTTTTTTTCAAATTTGGCCTCCAACTCAAATCTCTAAAAAAATAGTATTAATTACTGTGTTTAATAGAAAACTACTTGTTTTCTTTGGTTTACATGAATCAATATTTTCTTTCCCTGTCTGATAAATGAGACAAGGAACCTGGTGACAATGGACATGGAGAAGGCTGAAGTACCCGACAACTTTTTTTGCCTCAGTTTTCACTGGCAATTGCTCATCCCACATCTCTCAAATCCCTGAATCTCAAGGCAGGGACTGAAGGAATGAAGTCCCACCCTGATGAGAGGCATTCCAGGGTCCTGAGGGAACTGGCTGATATAGTCGCTAAGCCACTTTATATCATTCTGGAAAAGTCATGGCAGCCAGGTGAAGCCCCAGAGACTGGAAAAAGGGGAACTTCACACCCATTCTTTAAAAGGGTAAAAAGGAAGATTCTGGGAACTACCTACCTGTCAGCCTCACCTCTCTGCCCAGTAAGATTATGGAACAGATCTTCTTGGAAGATATGGATGACAGGAAGGTAATTAGACATAGTCAATATGGTTTCACAAAGGGAAAACCCTGCCTGACTAATCTGGTGGCTGCCTACAATGGAGTAACTGCACTGGTAGAAAAGAGAAAAGCAACAGTTGTCATCTAACTTGACTTCTGTATGGCCTTTTACATGACCCTGCACAACATCCTTGTCTCTAAGTTAGAGACATATGAATCTGATGGATGGACTATCTGACGGATAAGGAGTTTACTGAATGGGCACATACAAAGATTTGCAGTCAATAGTTCAATGTCCAAATGGAAATCAGTAACAAGTGGTGTCCCTCAGGGGTCTGTATTGGAACCGGTACAGTTCAATATCTTTATTACTGACATAGACAATGGATTGCATGCACCCTCAGCAAGTTGGCAGATGACACCAAGCTAAGTGGCGCAGTTGATACGCTAAGGGAAGGGATGCCATCCAGTGGGACCTTGACAGGCTTGAGAAGTAAGCCAATGTGATCCTCATGAAGTTCAACAGGCCAAGTGTGAGGTCCTGCACATGAGTCAGGGCAATCCCCAACATCAGTACAGACTGGGGGATGAATGGATTGAGACCTGCCCTGCAGAGAAGGACCTGGGGATACTGATGGATAAAAAACTGGACATGAGCCAGCAATGTGCACTTGCAACCCAAAAAATCAACATATCCTGGGCTGCATCAAAAGAAGGGTGGACAGCAGGTAGAGGGAGGTGATTCTCCCCCTCTTCTCCACTCACATGAGACCCCACCTGCAGTAATGCAACCAGATCTGGAGTCCTCACCACAGGAAAGACATAGTCCTGCTGGAGCAGGTCCAAAGGAGGGCCATGAAGATGGTCAGCTGGCTGGAACACCTTTTCTATGAAGAAAGGCTGAGAGTTGGGATTGTTCAGCCTAGACAAGAGAAGGTGTCGGGAAGACGCTATTGCTGCACTTCCAACACTTAGAGAGCTTATGAGAAAGACAGAGATATTTTACCAGGACCTGTAGCGATAAGACAAGGGGTAATGGTTTTAAAATGAAAAAGGCTAGATTTAGATTGGATGTAATGAAGAAATCCTTTACTATGAGGTCGTGAGACACTGGAACAGGTTGTCCATAGAAGTTGTGGATGCCCTGTCATTGGAAGTGTTCAAAGTCAGGTTGGATGGGGCTTTCAGCAACCTGCCCATGGCAGGGGGCTAGACCAGATGATCTTTAAAGGTTCCTTCCAACTCAAACCATTCTATGATTTTCTACACATCCCTCTTTCTAGAACAAAAAGCCCAAATCTTTCTGAGTAGAAGAAATTCTGTTTGGCCTTGTAGCAAATATGCTGTTTCTGATTCATACCTGCTCCTCAAAAAAAAAAAAAAAAATGCAGACACCCAAGCAACAATCAAAAAAACACCAACAAACACCACCCCCACACCCGCAAAAAACAAAAGAGGGGGCGGGGGGGGCAAGGGAATGGGGATTATATTTAGGAAACATTTCTTTGAGGTCTGCAGAAGTCCCTGCCCCTCCACTGTGCTGCTCTTTCAATTTAACAGAGATTAGGAGAATAACTTTATCCTCCTTCTTCAACTAGAAATGGTCCCACACTCTGCCTCCCAGTAAAATGCTTCAAGCACAGGCACTTCAACAGAGAACTCTGAGAGCACTTCACAGCTTTGTAATTATGGTCCTCCTCTGATATGTGGGAGATGATCCTTCAGGAGGAAAGAGGGATCCAAATTCATATCTCTCAAATTCCAGGTGAGTGCTCTTCTCACCCCCTTCTAAAATGCAAAATCCACCTCTGCTCCTCCTCATCCTCCCATTTGGCAGACCTAGTCCTGAAATGCAGAGTCCTCATTGTCTCACCTCTACCCTGAGCTGAAACTCTTGAGTGAGGGCAAAAAGTAATTTGTTTTTTTGCCATTACTCCCATTCTTCTCTACAAAGTCAGAAAACAGAAATAAGTAAACATAAGAACGTAAGCAAGAAATAAAATCATTGAAATTCCACAAATTTACTGAGACTGAATGGGTACAGGCGCTCCTTAAGGCATTTAATTAGCAAGCCAATGTCTAATACACATTTTAAACAGTGGGTCATCCATCAAAGCACACACCACACAGCAGGCTTTCAGAATAAAATGCTACTGTAGTAAGAAATTATCCTCACGCAATTGTCTTGTGGTTTTGACTCCTGCTGGGATAATATCTAGATCAATAATAGAGGAATTTTCAAAAACTACATTAAAGCCATAAAAGGTTATTCATAACAGGAGAACTCCAGACACAGAGCAAGCCATCTCCCTAAGACTCAGGCACAAAATGAATGTGTTAGGAAAGCAAATGTAGTATTCAGAGAAAGAAGGGAAAAGGTGATTCACCAAAACCATTTAGTGAAACAGTCTGGCTTTTTCTTTAAAGTAGTTTAGTAAGAGTAATCACTTATAAATACCAGTAGTAGAGGATCATTACAGGTAATAGCCCAACTATACAGACTAGAACAACTACACCTCTCCAATTAGCTCTGTTCTAACATTATATTCACCACAAAATGGTCAAAACAGAAGTTTTTCATGTAAAGGAAAAGGTCAGAGCAGTAAAAAACCTGTAATTTACCTCTGAGATCTTTAAGGAAGAAAAAGGTCAACTGTCTTATGGATACCTGACATGAATAAACAGCAGAGCATCAGGGATATACGTTTGAGACAGCATTATCCAACTATCTGAACTTTAATTAGCCAAGAGTCCCTGCAGAGCAATAACAGCCAATTCAAAAATTAAGAGCACATCACAATGTACACTAAAAGAGTGCTGGATTTTCACTCCTGTCCACAACCTTTCCCTGTTCTGTCACATGTGCTCACAAGCCAAGAAGGCGGCAAGGGAAATACTGGGGAACAGAAAACACCAACAAATCAGGAAAGTCTGTATTCAAGGTGGGAGAACCAGCTATAAAGAAACTGCGACATTTCATAGAATCATAGAATCATAGAATGGTTAGGGTTGGAAGGGCCCTTAAAGATCATCTAGTTCCAACCCCCCTGCCATGGGCAGGGACACCTTCCACTAGACCAGGTTGCTCAAAGCCTCATCCAGCCTGGCCTTGAACAGTTCCAGGGATGGGGCATCCACAGCTTCTCTGGGCAACCTGTTCCAGTGCCTCACCACCCTCTCTGTGAAGAATTTCTTCCTGATATCTAATCTAAACCTCCCTGATTTCAATTTATACCCATTCCCCCTTGTCCTGTCACT